ACTGAAGTACCAGTGTCCAACTCCATCGAAAAGTTTTCACCATTCACCTTTACAGGAACCATGATTAATTAATTAATTTATTAGTTGTATAGCCCTATTTACATGTACAGATCAATAGTGCTTTACACTGAATAAAAATTAAAAACCTTATATATCTAAATAAAATTTACAATAGTAATGGTAGCTAAAAATATATAAGAATAAATTATTTTAATGTAATATATCTGAGTTAATGATTACTAAAAGCTTCATTAAACAGAAACGTTTTAATAGCTTTTTTAAATTTATCCAAACACTTAATCATTCTAATTTCATTAGGAAGTCTGTTCCATAAGTATGGTGCTGCTGCCTGAAAAGACCGAGCTCCAAATGTCTTCAGCATCTTACCCTTAGGGGGCTCTAAGTAAAGACCGTCATTAGATCGAAGACAATAAGAAGATTTTGATTTAATAGATATAAGGCTGTTAATATATGACGGAGCTAAATTATGAACCGCTTTAAAAGTAAGCAGAAGAATTTTAAATTTAATGCGAGCCTGGATTGGAAGCCAGTATAACTCATATAGAATAGGAGTAATATGCGAGTACCTTCCAACGTTCAATAGCAGTCTTGCGGCTGCATTCTGTACACGTTGTACTTTAGCTATCAGTTCCTTTGAGGCACCATACAAAAGACTGTTACAATAATCTAATCTATTCGTTATAAACGCATGAACTAAAGTATGGAGACTGTCTTCGTGTAAATATTTCTTAATGCTTCTAATGTTATGAAGATAAAAGAATGCAGATTTGCAAATATTTGTAATATGCTTAGACATGCTTAGGTTAGCATCCAACCAACAGCCTAGATTTTTAACCTCGGAGCTATTATTAATTACCGAGTTGCCAACGGAGATACTGATTGGCTGTAGTTTAGATAATTGTTGTTTGGAGCCTATTAAAATCAGTTCAGTCTTGCTATCATTAATTAACAGTCTATCATGAATCATCCACTTCCTGATCTTTTCAATACAGTTCTCCATTGCTTGCAAGACTTGGTCTTGAGATGTAGTATTAGGTTTAAAACTCAGATATAACTGGGTGTCATCAGCATAACAATGAGCACAAGGAAGCTCGTGTTCAATGATCTTAAAGAGCTTAGATGCATATATAATAAATAGAATCGGTCCAAGACAAAATACGACCCTTGAGGAACTCCGCAGCCTAAATCGAATGGGTTAGATATCGATCCCTCGATGTCGACTTTTTGCATCCTATTATGGAGATATGACTCAAACCAACTCAGGGCAGAATCAGCAATACCTAATTCTTCGTGTAGACGTTTGATCAGTATATCATGATTAACAGTGTCGAAGGCGGCACTAAGATCCAACATGACAAGAAGAGTGACCTCTTGTGAATTCATCTTCATTAAGATATCGTTAACAACTCGAAGAAGCGCTGTTTCGGTACTATGTCCTTTTCTGTAAGATGATTGCATTTCTGGATAAACAGAATTGTCTATCATGTGTAAATGAAGTTGATTATACACCGCCTTTTCGGTGAGCTTCGATATGTATGGCAAATTACTAAAAGGTCTGTAGTTACTAAGAAGTGGATCAAGACCAGCTTTTTCGAGCAACGGCTTAACAAGTGCACATTTCCAGACATCAGCAAACACACCATCCACGAGGGATAGATTTATCATTTTTGTGATCACGGGAAGCAGGACATCAATGCAGCTAAAAACCAGTGAGGTGGGCATCGGATCAAAAGAACAGCTTTTCTTTGCGCTACCTTCGATAAGTTTCCGTACTTCGAGTTCAGAAAGTGCTGTAAATTTACTAAATTTGGGGGTTGGTGACAATGTACAGTTTAAAAGCGGGTCAGTGGAAAGATCTTGAGCCATAACGTCGAGTCTTGTAACAATATCAGAGATTTTTTGAACAAAGTACGAGCCCATCCTATCAGCTAATACAAGTTTATCATCGCAAGGTGGTAGCACAGTGTTCTTTTTCCTTTGATTCAAAAGAGTATTCGCAGCTGCAAAGAGCTTTTTTTGGTTTGAACTGTTATCATTATTGAAGTCATGATAGTATTGGCTTCGAGCTTCGTTCATTAATCGATTTGTCGTATTCTTGATCTTTTTGTATGACAACATATCGTCGTGTTTGCCAGAGCGTCGCCATTTTCTTTCTGCTTTCCGTTTTTCACGGCGAGCATTTTTTATATCTTCATTGAACCAAGGAACCATAGGTCTAGATCGTATAACTCTGGATCGAAGTGGAGCATGTCTCTTGAGCACTTGGGACAAGGTATCGTTATAGCATTTAACGAGATCGTTAAGCGAATCTGGACTGTATTTACAAAGCTCAGAGGTAGACAGATCTTGTTTGAAATCCTCAATCTTGATTGCCTTCAGTTTTCTATATGATATTTGGTCAGTTTTGGGAGATGGTTTACTTAAGGCAAGATCGCAAAGAACAGTAAAATGGTCTGAAAACAAGTAGTCAGTCATAGGTTTGGCTGTAAGAAATGAATCCGAGCAACGAGTAATCATTAAGTCTAAGGTGTGCCCAGATATATGTGTAGATTTATCCACGTGCTGTTGAAGGCCCATAGACGATAGTAAATCTTGAAAACGAGAAGCATCAGAGTCAGTATGTACGTCAACATGAATATTGAAATCACCCGTTATCAGCAACGGCTCAGGAGACATGATGATCGACTCGAGGTAAGTTATGAATTCATCAAAGAAAACACTAGTGGTGACTGGATGGGCATGAGAATATGGTATACGATAGATGACAGCAATTCTCAAGCTATTTGAACCATAACGCAGAGTCCATTCAAAAAATTCGAAAGATCTACGCTCACCACCGTCCATTTTCTTGGCATCTATGCCGCTCTTTATTAAGAGTGCAAGTCCACCACCAGTCCTTCCAAGACGCAGTTGATCGAGCAGCTTGAAACCAGGCAGAGTAAGTTCAGCTCTATGTGCAATGTCACGTTCCGTCAACCATGTTTCTGTAAATATGTAAATGTCCGCACCGGTGGATGCTGCATAGCAAACAAAATCCGCAGATTTGTTTTTAATTGATCTAGCATTCAAGCAGCAGAGTCTAAGATGTTTTTTGACGTTAGGAGATTGTTCTGAGATAGTTGGAATATTAATGATGGTACGGACTTCAGGTCTTTTGTGATTATTTTTCATCGTGTGATGGTTACCATGGCGACGTCGCGTACGTTGAGAGATACGAACTGAAATAGATTTCCTATTCTCCGGGCCAGGCAATGGATGAACATCACCGCTAAGCAAGACTGATAATTCCAAAAAATTAAAAGTTGACGAACTATTGGAATAATAAGAGATTTTACTCTTGAACCATTTTTTCTTGATTTTATATAATGGTACAGAGCAGCGATTGTCTAATGAGACAAATGAAGCACGAATAGTACGAGGTTGAATTGAATTGCTTCGCACTTCACTAGGCACAGTGTCACAAAGAAGTGTTGATGAATGCAGAATTCCACCAGGCTTGTAGTAACCATTGTTTGAAATACAAAGAGTGGATGTAGAAAACCATTGCACAATCCAAGGTCGAAAACCAAAAAATCCTTTTTGCAGACGAACCATTCCAAATTCGAGAGCCAAAAATTGACATGCTGGAGAGCATGATGTTAGATACTCATTTCTTGAACTACTTTTGTGAGGAGGACTTGAGGAAAGGCTTGAAAGCACAGAATCGCACAGATCAAAAACAGCATGTCCACGACTAATTATTTAATTAACTATGATGGATAGCTCAGGCTTTCCTAATGAATGTGAAATAGTCTGAGGTCGTCGTTTGGCTCTTTTGGAAGGGCGTTGTCTTCCGCGTACCGAACTGGTTGTCTTCTCCCACCTTGATTCGGACGTGATCTATGGACGTAACCATCTGAGGATACGCGTGCTTTTTTCTTACAGACTTTGGTGATATGCCCTTTTGATTTACAATTCCGACATAATTCTTCTTTAAACGGCATTTTTGCGGGATGTGGTCCTCGCCTCAATGGAAACACGCTCTCTTTGGCTTCATTGCTTTTAGCGATAAATTAAAAGCTCAATCGTTCCAAGAAATCCCATTCTCGTCGCCAGTCGTTGTGTATTAGGGTTCGATATACTACTATAGAGTAATGCGTTAATCAGACCATGTGCTGAATACAATGAACTTAATTATATACAATGATATGTAAGCATAATCACGTGACTGCGGTTAAGGGTGTGCTAGAATCCAGCTGAGGTATTTATCATTCCAAATAGGGACAAACACTACAGCTTTCTTCACCTAAGTAATGCTTTTTCGCCTTCTTCGCCTTGCTTTAGCATTTTTCCCTCTGAATCTTGCTGGTCTTTAGTGATTCTAGTGTTTCTCTAGTGATTCGAGAGGGAAAAGCAATGGTTGAACGTTGCCGGTATAAGTAACTGACCTTTCCAAAATCTTAGCGGAAGTCATTATATGAGTCAAGTGAAAAGTTGTTGTCAGTCAAGTGCTGAAAGTACGGTTGTTGTGAGCTGATTGGTCAGTTTTGCTGTAAGATTCAAGTGGCGTAAGTTGGTAGTGATTGGTCATTTTTTTTCAGTTGATAATGTTAGGTTGTTCAGGTTGGTTAATATGTTTTTCAAATGTACCGATCGCTCCGCTACGCCATTTTTCAACAAGATCAAGTGCTCCGACCGCCATACCTCCTTCATCGGGGAGACTGGCAAGAACCTCAAACAAGACTGACCGGCAGACGTACTTCAGAGGGTATCCGCAGGATTGAGCAGGATATCTGTTTCATTACTCAACACATTGATCACAAAGTACAATTTATCGAGTTTGTCAATTTGCAGAAAAGTTGAAAAATCCGCTATTTTTCTCCACGACACACGAAATGACGTATATCGCAGGATATCTGTTGGGTACGCACGACGAATATTAAGAGAGCCATGACCATATTTAGACATTGCCACAATGTGTTAAAAAATAGATTTTAATAGTTTGAAAGGTATAATTAACTAGCATCGCTCACCGAAAAGCATGAATGGCTACGGAATGAAGCTAAACGTTGTCTCAGGAGGAGGGTATTTAATGAACATTTTACCCCCACTCGACCCCCAGAGGAGGAGTTGGAGTTCGAGCACGCCGTCTTCAAAGATTGATTCGCAGGGTGTTGTTATCGCAAGGATGTTCAAGATTTGTCTTAAGAGTGCATAAATTCAGTTATTTCTAAGTCTTGTTAATTATCAATGCGACAAAAATCGAACGTGTTGTAAACTTGTTCTATTTTCTTCTACGGTGATTGCAGTTACATGATCACGAAAGTGGCAATTCAAAGGCTCGAAATTTCTACCCCTGTTGCTCTTCTGATTCAAGCATTTCCAACTGCTTGACATGTTTCTTGTACGCTTTTATCTCTTCAAATAAGTGGCGCATGATGGGGTGATTGCAGGTCTTTGTCTGTTCTTCTATGCAACGAATATACGCATCATCTGCGTCATCGCCTGCGTCAGGGTCTCCCTGCTCATGCTCGGACACTTGCATGCTTTCAAACAAGCACTTCTTCATGGCATCTCCAGCGCATTTGTGATAGCGATCATTCTCTGCAAAGTGGATAAGTATGTTACTACTTTTTATTTTCAAGATTCTTTATGGCGTATTCTCCGGCGTACTCTCAGACCCTGCAACAAGAATACCGTCCCTAGATTCAGACTGGATTTCAAGACAATCAACTTGTTTTAATGCGCCAACGTTGCTATGCTAAAAGCTGTTACTTGGAAATCAATAAAAAACTAAACTTCAGTCATGCGTCGAAAAGTTGTTACCTTAAGTCCTCTCTTAGGGACGGTGCCTCCTAATACGAAGATATATTGTCGCGGTTTATCACTATGCAAAAAGGTGGATCTTGGTAAGGGCTATTGAAAATTTAAAAGAAAATTGGAAAATTTTCGAAAAAAAGAAAAGAAATATTTCTTTGAGCATTTCCTTAGAATTTCCGTTTAAATTCACCAAGGGAACAACAAACCACAAGCTTTGAAATACATAACAATTGGTGATATAAAAACTAATTTTTATGTGGTATTTATTACAAAATCATTGCAATGGAGCCGTTTTTGGCCCTGGCTGCTCTCTTCTAGGTAAGCAAAAAACAGTCTAAATATATTTTTCGAAGTACGACAAAATCACTATTTGTTGAGTAGGCTTATTACTTCCGTTTTATAAAGTAAGACGTGGGGGTAACCACGCGTTTTTTAAAGCTATATTGGTTATTTTCTAATTTTAAGGCAAGTTTTTGGTGCTCCAGAAAATTTTTGCACTACCCCTTCTCTAGTAAGTTAAATGTTTGCATGTTTTCTTTGAGTATGCTGGGGTATCTGGTAAGTTATCTTACGTTCGACGAAAACATCTTTCCTTTTATTATTATCGACAGCAATAAAATAAAAGAATAAAACCGAAACGGATTTTTGTGTATTACATCGTTCGGTACAAAATATAACTTGTTTTAAGCGATTCCTTTGAATTTGAAGCCTATAGTATTTGCCACTTCACTTCACTTGCTTTTCCTTGGTTCAGCATGATTTCATAAAACACACCACAATTACGCTTTTTTTGACGGTTTTTTGGTGTAGACAGCCTGTTGTCAATCTTGTAAAGCTATTCGCTAAATCAAGAGCTCACAAAAAATACGGTGACTAATCATCAAAGCTAGTAAGCACGCGAGGCAGTATGGTTGTGTGGTGCACTAACAATAGGAGGCACTGTCCTTCAGCTCCCCTCTCTCAAATAAGCCCCCTCTCAAATGAGCCCCTTTTTCAGAGGAAGAAAGTTATTAACCACTTCATGTGGACTGATCCGGTATGGTTTATTCACGGATTTTGTTAAAAATAACTTGCACAACTCGCATAATATTACTCAGTTCTCCATATGAGATAGTCATTGTCCTAGTCCAAAACAGGAAGTCGGGAAGCGTAACTCAAGTCTGTTTCTTCCTCCTTTTTTAACTCGTGAATTGCGCGCATGCGCAAGAGCGATTTGTAGATACGATGTGGAGAACGGCACTCGCTCGTTCGCTCGCTCGGTCGATTCCTGTAAACTTTTTTTCCATTTTAGGCTTTTGAGTGCATTTGATAGTTTTTGGCGAGTAGTAAATAAACGAAATGGCGACCTTTGTTGCTAAGAATAGTGGTGGGGTGAAAAAGAAGCCAATGATAATCTTAAAAGATTATTTTTTGCGTTTTAGTTTCAACAAGCAGCGCCAGCGACTGGCAAGCATGCGAGGATTCACACTGAAATAAAAGGACAACCTTCGTTTTTCATAAAATTGTAATTTACAATCCTTGAACGTGAAAACAATCCGAAGATACATAAAAAATATCACTTACTCCGAAGCGCTCGGAGTTTACTGGTGTTCAAAGCTTTTTCAGTTATGGCGTGAGATTGGGGACAAAATTGATCATTACATTTCGTATCGATTTTCAGTAAATTTTTAAAGAACAATTTTCTTTTGAGTTTCAAGACGATTTGAAGATTCAAATAAATATTACGTACTAAAATGCGAAAGTTCAAGGAATTGTCCTCTACGCATCAAGCATTCGTCGATGAGTGTAGGCATCTAAAATCTATGTTTCATCGCCTTGGTTACCCTAGTTCTTTGGTGAACTGTATTATCGACAAATGTGATTATTCCTCTACACCAGATACTAAGACAAAATCTGATGAAACTTTAAGAGTCAGTATTCCTTTCAAAGATCAAGTCTCAGCGAACATTGCCAAAAGACAAATGCGCGATCTCAGTTCAAAAATCGGCATTGATGTACAACCAGTCTACACCAGTAAGAAACTTGAGCAGGACCTAAAGCTTAAAGAAATCAAGCCATGCATCGTAAGTCAGCATAGCGTTGTTTACTGTTTTGAATGTGATTTGTGTGATTCAAATTACGTCGGATATACGACGCGCCATTTGTTTCAACGCATTGCTGATCATCGATACTCTGCCATTGGTCGCCACCTGAGAGATGCCCATGGGAACATTGACTTACTCAATGAGAGCCAGTTTAGAATGCTTAAAAAATGTGGCACGAAATGGGATTGTCTTGTTTATGAAATGTTGTACATAAGAACAATAAGGCCCAATTTAAACACCCAGAGCGATTCTATTAGGGCCAAACTCTTTGTTTAACTTTTAACGCTTTGCAATTTATTCACCGCTTCATTATATATATACTCGATTTTATTATTCTAGTTCACTTGATAATGACGTTCTGGAAACGTCGAAACGTCGTGTTATGTTTTATAATATTTTATCGCAGATTTTTATTGTCAAATGATAGACAGTAAATTTCACTTTTCACCCACATTTACTTCCAACCTTTTCTTTTGAACCAGAAACAAAAATGATATATGTTTAAAACACATTACATCATTCACCCTTGTCAAATGTAATAGCATGATCATTTTAATTGTAATGCCTTCTTGTCCCAACGTTACTTTGTTTCTTTGCTACATTAGCGAACACTGAAGTACTGCTTCGTACTCTAAATATGACAATCAACCACAAAAATCCCTAAACCAGATAACATTAAACATAATCCAAAAAATCATGTAAGTCATCTGTCAATTCACGAGTTTGCTCACAGAGCACTTTGATTTGCTACCGGTAATGCGTTTCGCTAAATCAAATAAGGCCCCCTTTCAAATAAGCCACCCTCTCTCTATGAATTCCCCCCTTAAACGTGCTTAAAATAATTAAGTCCCGGAAGGGAAAATTAGAGGATTTACAGTATTTTGTCAAAATAAATCCACGCGTGTCTTCTATTGGAACTTTTTATTTCAAAAGGTACCCTCCAATCATGGCCAAAAATACTGTTCCGAGCATCCCTATTTAGAACCTTGTTTGACACACTCATCTTGATGCTTAAAAACTGGCGTTTGAATAAGGATATCGCGTCACTTTTTCATGGAAAAAATCTAACTATTCTCAGATATTTCGCGATATTTTTCAATCACTTCCTTTATTCTCAAAATTTGCATTTTTGTCCAGATAAACATATTTTTAAGGAAAAATTTACGTTATTACTCACCAATGTTTGAGAGCCCTTCTTTCTTCATTATACCTACGAAATAAAGTAAACGTGAACCCAACTTCGTGGGAAAAGGACGGAAACAGCGGTATATCGAACAGAAACAACTGATTTTAACCCAGTTTTATTTAACAATTATTCACCTCAATGTGGGTGATTAGTAGTGGATATTTACCGAGCCGTGAAGCGGTGAAGTAAATATCCACCATTTTTACTGACACTCAGGTAAATAATTGTTGTAGTATATGCTACACAAGTTGAATGATCAGCCGATTGAAAATTTGCTTTTTTTTTTTTTCAAAACGAGCGACAAGTGCACATCAGAAAATCATGAAAATCGCAGCACGCGATGCTCCTTCGCAGTAAGCGATTTCTTATTGTAAAAGTTTCCGTCTCGCTTTCTTACGGATAAATAAAACTTCTGAAGGCACTTACTTAAGCCTTTAACCCTTTTAGGGCCTCCCTTTGACGAGAAAAATCGTCTGGCGTTAGACAGAGTAAAATCGTCTGACGTTAGACAAAATAAAATCGTCTAGTTGTCCACCAACAACTCTATACTTAGTTACATTTTTTCCAAAAACCATGTGGTCACATCCAGTTACAAAAACACTACAAAGCTCATGTCCAACTACAAGAAATCTTAAAAGTTTTGAAAAGACGATTTACTCTAAGGAGCTGAAAGTTTCAGTAGCTGTTCCTTCATTCTATGCAGAAATTTTGATATGTCAATTATGTCCATCACTTTTGACGTTGTCATGGCAACCATCAAATTCCACGCAGATCTGACCAAAATCAGCTTTTTTGAGAAACTTCCTAAGTTTTTTTTCCACGTTTCTTCATCAAATAACAGAAATTCGTGAATTTGTACATTTCACAAGCATTCTAGCTTGATTTTGTGTTAATTCCCCAAATGTTAACTTTTTCCAAAAGATTGTGAAATCCAAGATGACGAGTCAAATGACGTCATTGCCAAGAAAAGTGATATCATCTTGTAGAGCAAGCTCAGGGGTATCTAATCAGTGTAAATTTATTTCGCTCTGCCTGAATAACCGCGGTGGGGCTTTCAGTTAGCTTGTACGTCCGAGGGTTAACTTTTGAATCTGTGGAAGAAATCTTTATGTGTGACTATTCAAATGAAAGCTTTAGAGCAGTACTTTCCTGCGTTGCTGTTTATTAATCAGTGCAAGGTGACGCAACCATTCGAATGAAATCTACTGAAAAATTCATTCATCCTATTTTTGTATTTAAAAAAAACCATACTTACCTGAGTTCAACACAATTCTCTTGAGGTTATCGTACTTTATCCCTGGACAAAGATTTGCTTTCTTGAGAAGATAAGAGGTCTGATAAGCCTCAGCACCATAGAACAGAAAAACTTTTGGGACTGGAGATGGAGTTTTCTCGAGAACGTCTGCCAAGCATGTATCATAATCCTGATAAAATGAAGCAAAGAAAAGGAACTAAGAACTTTACGTCATTAAATAAATAAATAACTAAATATATAAATGAGTAGGTCATTAGGCTCCTGGTAAGTGAGCGAGTGAGTGGGTTAATGAGTACGTAGTTGGCTGGGTGGTTGGGTGGGTTAGTGAGTGAATGAGTGGGTGGGTGAGGGAATCAATGAATGCATGAGTGAGTGAGTGAGTGAGTGGGTGGGTGGGTGGGTGGGTGAGTGAGTGAGTGGTGAGTGAGTGAGTGAGTGAGTGAGTGAGTGAGTGAGTGAGTGAGTGAGTGAGTGAGTGAGTGAGTGGTGGGTGAGTGGGTGAGTGGGTGAGTGGGTGGGTGGGTGGGTGGGTGAGTGAGTGAGTGGGTGATCGGTTGAGTGAGTGAGTAAGTGAGTGAGTGAGTGAGTAACAGTAACAGAAAATCTTTATTGCGCCTTACTCCCGAAAGGGAGGTATTGATCTGATTACAATAAAGATTATGATGTCTACTAGAATAACTAATTAACTAAAAGATCGCACAATAACTTCTAAGATGATAGGTATGAAAGCAAACTAAAAGAAAAATTCGTCAATTGCATTTTGATTTTAGGATCTCTTTCCTCTTCTAGAACATTAAATATGTATATGTGAGTGAGCAGTGTGGGTGAATAAATGCCAGACAGATCGATAGGTAGACAGGTAGATAGATAGATAGATAGATAGATAGATAGATAGATAGATAGATAGATAGATAGATAGACAGACAGACAGACAGACAGACAGATAGATAGATAGACAGATAGATAGATAGATAGATAGATAGATAGACAGACAGACAGACAGACAGATAGATAGATAGAAAACTTTATTTAACCACGGCAACTTTGATAAAAAATTACAATACATTGCTCTTTTGTTCTTCCCAAAAGCCGTGAACTATAATAATTACAATTAAGTTTTTTAAAATTTTATGTACAAGTTTACATCAATATATTAGATATGAAAATGTAGTATGTATAAAGGAATATTACAAGTTAAGTGTTATGAAAGAAAGATTGAGAGATTCTAATTTGTGTTTAAAAGCTCCCATGGATTTTTGGTATTTCATATGGATGGATGGATGAATGAGTTAATTTTAGTCTCGTTTAAATATATCTTGGTTTAGTTTGCCTAGCATCAATTTCCCTTGTGAACTTACCCCAATTACTCGGCACGACAATTCAAGGTCGTCGGCGTCTGAATCGAGATTGAGGCGTGCTGCCATTGCCTTCTCGCCGGCAAATTCAGGGGCGTTTCCCTCATAACACTTTAAGATTGGTTCGAGCACCCGTAACTTGGAATCAATGAATCCGTTCGTAGCAGAGATAACATTAGCAGCAAACAAAACGGTGATGATCTTTGAAAACATGGTTGAACTCGTTTCTAAAGAATAAACACAGTAAGGGTTGTTTTTAATGTCATTAAAACAAAGCTGAAAGAAAGGAAAGCCCGAAACTTAATGGTTAAGTTTTGTTTAAAATAGGAAATATCCATTTTAAGAGTTAGAACTGAAAGTAGAAAATACGCGAAACCAGAAGCTTTTGCGAAATAAACAGATACATTTACGCTCGGTGGCTTAGCGTCTATAATACTTGCCAGCAGAGCGAGACAGCTTGCGATTGTGCTCAGACGAATACGACACTTTAAAAAGTGAGAACTCAACAAAAAGGATGCTTAGCCGTGGCGAACAGCTTTGACGAAAAGAACCAGCGTATGTCACTTAAACTGTATAAAACTGCATTTAAAAACTTTAACTCTGGAGCAAGGGAGAGTAATTTGTTTGGGAGGGTAAAACCATTTATAAACAATATTATATATGGCTCTGTTTAATCAATTTGAAGGCTTTAGGGCTTGTTAACCTCTAGGTACAACTAGGGAGGGTATAAGACGAAATGAGTTTGTGAAATGGCAATTGGCATGACTTGCAGAATGGCATCATTATGTGGCATGGGATATATGCAGAATGCTCGAGAAATTGATTCAACTTAAACGCGCGCCTTTTCAACAGTTCTAATTAGCTTGGATTATTAATCGCGTCTGCCATCCTAGAGTGTGAATAATCGCAAGCTAGTTACCGTTCTCGTTACGTTTGATTATGATAACAAGTTCGTTACAGTCTGGTGGTTGGCGACTCCTTCATGTTTACGAATTTCAGGGTATCAACAATTCAAGCTAACACTACATCAGAGTTTAAATCTTTTTACTTGCGACATTTTTGGTATCAGCGATGCCGATGAAATTTCTATCCCCTTCGTCCGCATCCTTTCTATTTTCTTTCAATTCTTTTTCTCTCACTGAGTGAAATGGTATGGAACTAAGCGCAGTTTTGCCAATCATCTGTCCATAAGTATTTTGTTGAAACAACATTGTTGTAAAATCGTTTATTCAGAACATACTTGACTTGCTAAAAATTACTTGCACTGAAAATTGAAGCCGCTTAAATTATGAAATATTGCTTTTTATTTCCCTCGTATACGAAGCCTGTCTTTTATCTGGCACATGTACGGCTGCTGTGCTCAGTTGAAAGTTGTGAGCTTCAAACTAAGCCATAAATATTGTCGCCGCACCAAAGCATAACGCCGATTACTTGGATCGTTAGT